AGGTAATTCCAAAAAGTTCAATCTTTCTTCCCCTATAGATCTACAGAAGATAAACAACTGTACACAATCTTTTATTTAATTCACATTTCATCTGAGTGTAGATTTACAGACGTGGGCTTGTTCCTGACTCAATTCCTGAGGAAGTTTAATAAATTAAAATGTTAATCTGTTCTTTCTCAACTCTGTTGAAGGCATCACAGAAGTATCTGACAGTGACAGATAAAAAATAGCAGGCTATTATGGTATCTACTACTCAGTTAGTACTAACACGCAGAGACGACTGGTCTTATCGTCTGAGTGATACCATACGGCATAGTGTTTCCTGGCACATCCATTCTTCAGCAAGACACACATAAGACAGAAATCAAATCTTTAGCACCAATAGTTATAATTCTTCTAAGATTTTCGTTATTTCATTATGAAGCAGCACTCCCAGGAAGCACATCTACACAACACGGTGCCACATTTTTACTATCACTAGGTGCTCATTTACCAGCACCAAGTCACTCACATTTTAAAAGATTTTTAAAAACACCCATCAGTCTTCATTATTGCAGATAGTTTCTCAAAGCTGATTATAAAAGTTATTTTATACAAAGTTCTGAATGCAATAGTTGATAAATAAAGGCCAAGGAATGACGATATCTAGCTTTCAGTTCCCACTTCTTCCACTGTGCTGCTGTGTGGTCCTGTGAAAGGTAGTTTCACTTCTCTATTATTAGGTATATTACAAAACATTAAATTATTTCATATTCAAAATTGATAGATAACCAGTTGCATCCCTTTCTATTCAGTTTTGATCATAGAATGGCAGCTTAGTAGTCAAACTATTCATTTTTGTAACAAGACTATGTAATTACTGGCACTAAAATAGACAAATATCTGTACCAGCCCAGAAAAGGCAGCATGTAGCAGGGGTTTTTGTATACTCCTTAAAAGGAGAGAAGCACAATCCTTAAGTATTTTATATCCCCAAGAACTGCACACAAAAATAGCCAGATTGACTTAAAACAGAGGTTACCAATAGTGTCTTAAAATTCTAAGTTAATAATGGAATGACAGCTTGAGCTTTGAACCCCTCCTTTAGTTTTGGCAGTACTGTATATATCACAACCGGTTAAAATATTTTCTTTTTTAAGCAGAAAAAGTCATGAAAATTTTAAAAAATGCTTATAAATTGTCTGCCAACTGGTTTGGGGTTTTTTCTCTTCTAACTGCCTATTTAGGGTCACTTATTTAGTGCTTTTAAAACACATATTTTCATTTTCAATTGTAAATTTTAAAATGAAAAATTAAGTTAAATGTCAACTCTTTTATATTCTATAGTATAACCCAGGTGCAGTTGTTGCACTGGGGACAGCTCTATCTAAGCGACATGAGCTTTACCTAGATAAGTCGCTATTTCTGAGCATGACTTTAAATAAATAATTTTAAATGGAACAAAAAGAGACAGCAAAACAGAGGAGGCTCACGAAGCGTTCAATAACATAATGTCACATTGATAGATAAGATTGACAAGTCCAAATACAACTCTGAATTTCATCAACAAAGTTGTTCATCAATGCAAACAGGAATAGCAAAAGAAGAGGAGACAAATGAAGCAGTTGAAACAGGCAGTGAAAAGGGACATTGTAGAAAGATCCTCAGCTGATGTTGACAAGTCAAAATTTCTCTACACAGCAAGGCTCAAAAACACAGAGTTTGCTGTAATCACATGAAAACTTTCAACTGGATCAAGAGGTTTGTGTTTTTATTACAGGCAGTCAAAGTATTAAGCTTTATAACATGTGGCGCAGCACTGTGGAGTACCTGCCTGCAAGCCCGCAATTTTCTTCTAGCTTCTGTCATAGGAAATACAAAGAATTCAAAAACATTTCATTTGTAGGTGAGGATGGGTGACAGATTCTCTCCTGCGGTTATTGAGGCAATATTCTAAGACCACTGGAAATTTGGGTAATTTGGGCGTTGAATCACATCCTCAACAGCCTGAAGACAGCTTAAAAATAAAAAAGGTCAGAGGAAGACAACAGGATAAAAGAACTCAACCACATAGAGGCCATGGCAAGTCCCACATTCGTATAAATTTAAATAAAACTGATCTTTCTATCAAGCCATATTTAACGTGAGAATGATGAAAACACCTCAGCTGTAATGGCACATACTTTGGTGGGTCTTTAAAAATTTCTCAATAAAACTTAATTCCCACCATAAATTTAACTAATTTTTCACAGGCTTCCACAGCCCTGGGTATGCTCCTGCCCAGGAGGTTCACCCCCCAGCTTGAGTGCCACCGTTCCACCATGCATCCAAGGGAAGGAACCATGCCTCCCTGGCTAGCTGCGAAACTACAGGATTTCCAACAGGTATTTTTCCTCTCTGGATTGAGAGTTAAAGAGTATCTATAAGGACCAATTTCACTCTTCCAGCCACAGTCAAGAACTAAAAAGACAAATCCCATCCAAACACTCTTGGTTGACACAAATTGTTCATCCATAATTCAAATATTTTCATGAGGACCAGAGAAGCTCCCTTGGAATGACTAGCTGGCAGCACCCATTCAGCAATGGTTTTAACTGTTTTTCTTCCCCCAATATTTTTCTTTCATAAAAGAGTTGTATAGGATGTAAACATTTTGTCAACGACAGACAAGACACGGATGTGGAGAAAGCACAGTCAGGAAGGAAGTTGAAGGCTATTTAAAATTCATCTGTATCTATGACAAATTAATGAGAAGGCTGGAAGCTTGTTTTTAAAAACACAACACAGTTCACTTCAAAGGCTTCTTGATTTTCTGAGGATTTTTTTTGCAGAAGAATATGTTCCACTGTTAGCAGCTGCAACTGTTTTTTCTCCTTCCAGTTGCTGGAATTACAGGCATGCTGTTTGTTCAGAGATAAAGTAAGGAACAATTTAATGCAGACAAAAATTATTTTTTGACGGCTCCATTACTCGTTCTGGAGGCTGACTGGACAGACAGCTTCACAATATGATTTCAGCCTTCCATTAAGGAACGGTTTCTTTCTTATTCTGTCTATGGCCATATGCCTTCAGATTTTACTTTCCTTCTATGATGAGGGCCAACTAGATTTTAATTTTAATATGATTTTAATCTACGCTCCTCCCACAAATTCTCGGAAGTGCCTGTTACTTTAGACTGGTTAACTCATGAATCTTAGGAGCAGTTTTCTGATAGTCTACACCGTTGCCTCAGTATGTTGTCTACACACTGCCCCACTGTTTCTCAAGATGTCTGTATGTATCTTCTCACTTGAAATCAATTTTCCTACCATTTCTGGTTTATTTTTAGCTGTTGTAAAAGAGGCTCCTTTAGCTTTATGTGATTATCCTCCACAAATGCTAACAAGTTTCCCTTTCTCTAGCAGACTCTAGTGTTGTACTCTCTCACTTTCTCCTTGGATTCTTTCACCTTCTTTCCCAGAGTAATTCCCTCAGACATGCTGAGATAAACACTGCCAGATGTGAGATGAATGCAAATGTTTTAAGAGTTGTTTCATTTTTCATTCTAAATATTAAATCTGTATTAACCATGACTAAAAGACTTCATCAGCGTTATTTTATCATCAAGCTTAATATAATAAAAAGTGCAGGAGCTTCAGACAGGATGTAACTATGCTGCTATCACAATAATCACCACTATGAAAGGATGTTCTGTGCTTCTTGACAAACAATCTCTTAAAATAGTCATTTCTGAGTGCAGCTCTACATCAAGATCAGAATGAAGTAATAAACTGAACTGACAAAGAATGATCAAATCCACATCAGAAGCTCATCCTGAAAATTAACTCACTAACAGTTCAAAAGCAATCAAGGAATTGTGTTCACCTACTGCATGACCAAAGAAGGAGACAAAGAGCAGAAAAACTAGCAACCTTTCTGCTTTTTCTATTTGCTTACTTAAAGCAATCAAGACATTGTGAAAGAAATAGAGCTCAGATATTTATATGGAAATGTGAAATCACTTCACTATTACTACCTTTCGCACTCACTTGGATACCTGCTGGTATTAACCTACCTCTTTTTCATAACCGAGCATCAATATGCAGAAGAAGTGACACTCTTAAGGAAAAAAATTATTGAGTCATGAGTGATGGACAATATTTGTTTAATACTGAATACTATCAAGGCATGTGCAGCAAGCCTGAAAATTCTCAAGTAAAATACTTCACAATAAAAATTAACAGAATGAACTAGAGTCAACAGTGTTTCATACTCATGAAGCCCTTTGCATTTAAAATTCTCAATTATTTTATTTATTTGTATTTTTTTATGTTTGTGACCCATTTAAATCAGAGAGGAAATCAGTGGCAGTTCAAAACCAGGTTTAATTCCATGGATGCCCTGACTTCCCTGTGACAAAAGAAAGTACTAGTATTTTATCAAAATAAACATTCCAGACTATCAATCTATTCTGCCTGAGTTTTTAAAAGAAGTGCAGGTATATCTACAATACAGAAACATACCATTTTGTATCTGGAGTAATGCGTTCCTTAGTTGGAATAGTAGGGTAAAAAACAAAAGGAAAGAGCTTCATTCAGTTGTGCTGTTTGGCAGTTCTCACTATTTGTTTAATATCAGGCCATCAAAGCAACATGCAATACCCTTACTGTCTTTGGGCACTCTGAATCAGACAATCTGGAGAGCTTTCCCACTAAAAGCCTGCTAGGCTTTTACTACTAGGTATCTTCAAGAAATTAGAATTCCTAACTTTGAATAAATTATTTAACAAATTAAATGAAGAACAGATGTGTGCATCAGATATTCTTAATTAGATCTCTTAGCAAAAAACGAGGCAATCCACAATTCTAATTTTAAAACCAAACCAGCATTTCACTGAACATCTTCTCTTCAATATAACCATGGTTTCTACATAATTTAGTTACATGCATTTTGAAATTAAACAGTAAATGACTCCAACAAAACAAAAAAAGAAGAAACATTCGTGGGGTGGAGGAAGGGCCTTCTGATTCAAGTTTTTTTACCTCACAAAGTAGTAAGTCAATGATGTGGAAGACCATGCAGAGTGGAAACTTGGCAGTAAAAAGAGTGAGGAACCACTGGGATGCATACATATGAGCTTCCAAATTGAGGTCTGAGAAATGGCTATACAAGTCTGGTAACTGCTCCTAGAGTAAAGGAAAAAATAAATGTTTCAGTATTACTCATTAACCCGAGCTCTTCATCTACACTGCCAGTAAGTACCAGGTTGCTAAACACTGAAAAAAACACAACAAAGTGAAATCATGGCTTCTTCTGAGCAATGGAAATATGTTTCTTCATAAATTTCAGTGCCCTGGGTTACAGTTTTTAGTAAGGTATCCACTGTGGATTCTATCACAGTCTCAAATAATGTACTGAGATTATCCTGAGAAATTACAAAATCTTCAACAGTCGAAAGGCAGAGCGGTTGTGAAATCTATGTCATGCATAGTGTATATTTTTAAGTTATTCCTTTGCTGTGTCTTGCTGTAAATGCTACTGCTATAAAAACTAACTGATACTAGATGATCACCTTGCAGAGCCTGAAAGCAATAAAGCCCACAACTCCATCAGACAATTTCTCTAACAAGGAGATACATAAGCAACACAAAATAAGCACTGATAATCCTACTGTACCCTGATGATATATTCATGTTCAGTTAATAAAGTAAAAAACTATGTTAACATATGTAAATATTGAGAAGACCATATGCCAAAGTTAAGTATCGAATTAATTAGTATGCAATTCTACTTCATCAAGTAGGAAATACGTGCAATTTGACATCTGAAAAAAAGATCACTAAATTCACTGTGGTCTGTTTTGTTTGGTTTTATTATATCTCACAGAGGTATATATGGTCATCAATAGTAACTGACTCCAGCAGCTAGCTTTCACTATGCTAATAGAAGCGTAGGTCAAAGCTTAATGGACTGTTAGTAATTGCTTATTAGTCAGAACAACAATGTGTAAAACTTGCAGCTGTTTATTTAAGCTAAATTGCTCTGACTATGAAATAATTCCATCTGAAAAAAGAGCAACATATTGAAAACACAGTAAAATCTACAAAATGACCTACACTTGATTCAAGTTTCATAAGCATCAGAATGTCCCGATTTGCCTGACCTCTTAACCATCAACTAATTCATAGAAAGTAGGGCACTGATGGTGGCAGTCCAAAAGATATTCCAGCCTTAATAGAACAGAGACATTCTCTCTAAGCAACATCACGAAATAGGGAAGAGAGAGAGTAAGCAAACAGAGACAGATGATAAACCAGATACCTACTCTGCTTGGATACAAAGATTGGCAGCAAGATTGGTATATGAAACACAAAAGAAATGAGAAATAAATCTGACTCACAATGTTTGGATCCAGATATTAAACTTCCCTGCTTTGGTTCTACCCCACCTCTAAAGGAGAGGGTTTTTATTGTCCAGTAGCTTATGGAAGCAAAGCATTAATCTCTTCTTCATACCAGTATTTCCATTCATGAAAGTAGAAGAATTTGTTACCCTGGCCCCACCTGCATTAACTTCTCCAGCTGGAAAAATTTGCAATGGAGGTCTTCAAAGTTATTTCTGTAGAGGTCCCTCAAGCCATAGTCATACATTATTTTCACAAACACACAGAATGCCTGCTCCTCCGGCATCTGTTTGGAAAAATACACAAACATGATTTTAAAAACTGAGCTGAGGCTGGAAATTCTTTACACGAATACACACACTTAAATACCTTATGGATGATGAATTCAGAAACAGGGATATATTAAAATTTTCAGTAAACCACTCTGAATGTAAAATTAAGCAACTAAAATCTCAAGGGGACTATTCTCCTTGATGAGCACCTTGACTTGGCTCTGTAAGACCTTCTTTGAAGATAATATAGGATCATATCATAGGTTCATGTAAATATACATCCCTACAGCAGCACAACTGTCATCAGCATTCTTTCTGCCAAATAGATATGAGAACAACCAGTACACAACTCTCAGCTACAGAACAACAATTTAAAAAAAAAAAGCAAACCACAAGAAGAAAGAAAAGAAAAAGACAATAACTCACGATAGTGATTTCTACAGAGAGAGACTTGGTTAAAAGGGAAAAATTCAGGAGAACTAGGGTATAACCAACCTTAGTGAGAATAATGCTTGTCTACTTCCATCCAAATCCCAGGACAACCAACTCTCTGAAGTCATGTTTCCCATGACGAATAAGGAAATAACAAATTTTGCCTTCAGAACCTATTTGTGAGCTTAGGAGGGCTGATCCCATCTATTAACATCATGACTTTTTCAGAAGACCCATCTCCATAATCTCTATTTCATTTTGACCAAAATTTCTCATCCAACAGAGTTTTAGAAGGCAGTACTAAAGGACAAGCTGTGTGAGCCACTCTAAAGTTACATTTGTTGGCTTGAGCCCACTGAATGCCAAATCTGTGGGAAGCCCTGTGTTATGAAACCTCCACTGATAAGACATCTCCCCCACCTTCCCCATGCCTTCAGGTAACACAATAATAAGACAGGCACAAGCAGAGTCACTGCAGACCCCAAATTAGGTTTTCAATCACATCTAAAAACAACCTTTCTTTTGCAGGCACCAGATTGTAACAAATGAAAACAATTATTGAGTATCAAGAATGACAACTCTTGACCTTTTAGTATATTCACCCATTCAGCCTCTTGCCAACACCTTATCAAATATCAGTAATAGATAAAAGCTCAGTATTTTCTTCAAAGAGAATTTTAGTCTCTTGATATTTATCTCCACAGTTTCATCTGTTATGGTTCAGCCTATGATTATAGCCTGTCTCCAGGGCCATGGGCAGACACTTTCATTTTCATTTTCAGACAGCTTATATGAAAGTAATTAGTTAGCATAAAGAACTGCCTGATCAGCTGCTAGCTACCTGTCCAGGCTAGATTCGCCTAGGACAAGCTCTTAGGAATCTCAAAGCTCTTTATCACAATTTTATCTAGATGGAATGATCCCCACTGACAGCGGATAAAAGCTGCAGACAAAGTAAAGGGAAGAAATAGTTTTACCCTGACCAAAAGCCTTGAATCTGCTCTGTAATAACATGAATGCAAATTTTCTTTTTTTTTTTTTTAAGGTAACAATTATTTCTAATAAAGTGACAGATGTTCATGCACAAGCACACCTACCTTGCATGCTCAATCAGACACACGTGCATTGACAATCATTCCTCCCCTGAGACAGGGAGAGGGAACAGAGGTGAGTACTAGGCCAAAGTTGTTTACAGGCAGAGGCCACGGAGTCCTTGCTCTCAGTGCACAGAGGTTCTCCAATATTACCAACGCCAAGAATTCAAAATCATAAATCAAGTTTTCATTTCTTATTTATTTTAAACAAAACACATATTTTTGGTGCTTCCATTCCCATTTTTAGCATTTAGATATTTGCCCCTTATTATCTTTTCTTTGTATTCACAAATGCCAGAAATTTACCATTTTTAAAAATTAAATTTAATTTTTCACATAGCAATGACTCCAAGAGGTAGACAATAAGAAAGAAAAGTCAAATACTGTGAGACTTACAGTAAAATGATTAGAGTTGGCAACACTGTCCCCCTGTGACTAGAAGTTATTAGAAGAATTTCATCAAAGCAGCAAAATCACAAAAAGACAGGATGGAGGTTCAGGCTACCCAACCATCCCTGAAACATATCTACACTGAAGAGAAAGGATACCCAGAAAGGATCCCAGAAAAAAGGGAAAGGAAGGGGTCTAGAAATCCATGCAAAGATAGAAGAGTTAGAGGGGGTCTTACAAGCATTCACAGCATACAGATTGGTTGGAGAATTTGAGAAAAACAAGAGTTTGAGGACATCCTGGGAAGCTCCCAACTTACATGAGCTTATTGAGACTGCTTCCCTTCCCCCCTTTCTCTGATTATTTCAGTTTAATATCCTATTATGAAAGCAAATGTTATAAAGGGCATATTGAAATGAGTGTAACTGCCATTTAGTATTCCCTGTATACAGGGCAATTTCTTCTAACTCCAGAAACACTAGAAACAGAGGTGATTCTCTATAGTAATGACAGCATACAACTGAGAGAAGCTGAAGTATTAGTCAGAATGTGACACTCACTCATTTCTAAACAAATCTGGTATTGAAAATGGCTTATTCTTCCAGTGAAACGTAAAAATCCTTCTTTGGGTAAAAAAATCAATTGCAAAATAACTGTTAGATAAGCTAATTTGCAGTATATGCGGGATTGCAATAATGTGACTAATTTCAGGTTTATCCTTAAAAACTCTAAAGCTTCCCTGTAAGACTGTCACTGTGTATCATGTTCCTTAAGTCTTCAAGGAGTCATAGATCTTACTAGGAATTACAACTTAAATTAATCTGAATTTGAGTTCTAGATGCCTTAGGCAGTGCATGTGTAACATATATACCACCAACAGCTCACTCAAAACCACAATCTGAAATGTATTTCAACCATAATTAATAATTTATTAATTAAAGCCTGACAGAGATAGAAGGCAACAGCCCGATTAAGAGTTCTTGTTGGGGTTTTGGGTGGTTTATTCAGATATTCTTTATAATAGCCATACTACTTGAATCTGTTGCTTAAAACATCTTAAGTTTAAGTTAAGAAGTTAAAGCCTCTTGCAGAGACAAAAATTGTGTATTTATCTATCTATCTCTATGTGCACATGTATACATAGGAAGCAACAGATCAAAGTTTATACAGTTTTTGGCTACAGGCTAAAATACCAAGGTTAAAATTTAGCTTTCACTCAAAAGATATTATAACATGTCCCTAGGAGAAAAAGTCTCACTGAAAATCAATGAGACTGCTTGCTCTGGTTAGCTACTCTGAGAATATCTCCCAAAGTTAAATTCCCCATAAACACAAAGGGAGTTCACCTACGTGACAACTAAATTAAAAGAAAATATTAATATGTAACAAATCAGTTTCAGGTTTTGACACAGAAGTACTTGACAATTTAATTGATTTCTCCTAGATAAAGGAAATCTACATTCATAAAGATAGAAGCCATTAGTCACTATTTGCCAAAAAGCAGCAAGAGGAAAATGAATACAGAAAAATAAACAACAGTAAATATCTGTCAAATAGTATGTTACAGTACTACTGGTTTTAAAGCTGCTTTGGTTTCAAATATCAAAGCTTTCATTTTGCAATTAACTCACATGAAGTAGAAGCACAGCTGCAAGGAAAGACTGTCCCTGGCAATAGCCAATGTCTTCATCATACACAGAGTATGCCTAGAAAAAATAAAAGTCAACATATATTTAAAATGCACGCAGGCATTATCAAAATGTTTAATAATCAATGAGCTATTCAGAATACGTACTACTATGCAGGCTAAAATAATAAAGAGAGTGAAACTGTAACCATTCTTGCATAGACTTTCAGGGCACTTAAGAAAACATGTACAGGTCACCCTCAATCTTCCATAGATGCCATATTTGTAAATTTTTATTTTTATTTTTATTTTTCAACAGCGTGAGAAGAGTTGAATGCAATTTCCCTTCACCTAAACCAGGGATAATTCCACTGAGGTCAGTAATGACATAACTTTAACGATATAACAAATATGATATAAGAACCAGGCTGATTTGTGTTGTGGGGAAAGTGCTTGTTCAGTTTTGGAAAAACAAACTTTTACATTGTGAAAGTATAGGACCTGAGGTTCGTTGTTAGAAAACCACTGAGAACTACTCTAGCTTGCAAATTTAATCAGAAACAGTTTTTCCATGTCCTTGTTATGCTGAAGAATGAACAAGACTCCTTTTTCTATGGTAAGATTGCCATACTACTTTTTTCTTACTCTTAAAAAAAAACAAACTAAAATAACCAACCTTTCCTTTCCCCTTACTTTTCCGAGACAAGAAGACAGATACTGTTTTTAGAGAGATGTCAGAGGATGTTAAGAATTTGAGGAAACTTAGAATCATAGAATGTCCTGAGTTGGAAGGGACCCACAAGGATCATCGAGTCCAACTCCTGTCCCTACATAGGACAACCCCAAAATTCACACCACGTGTCTGAGGGTGTTGTCCAAATGCTTCCTGAATATTCTCAGGCTTGGTGCTGTGACTACCTCCCAGGTGAGCCTGTTCCAGTGCTCCACCACCCTGTGGGTGAAGAACCTTTTCCTGATGTCCAACCTAAACCTCCCCTGGCGTATCTTCCTGCCGCTCCCTTGGGTTCTATCGTTGGTCACCAGGGAGGAGAGATCAGCGCCTGCCCCTCCTCTTCCCCCTGTGAGGAAGCTGTAGACCGTGATGAGGTCTCCCCTCAGTCTCCTCTCCTCCTGGCTGAACAGACCAAGTGACTTCAGCCGCTCCTAATACAGCTTTCCATCTATACCCTTCACCATCTTTGCGGCTCTCCTCTGGACACTCTCTAGTAGAAAGAGTATACTTTCTACTTGAGAAAGTATAAGCAGCAACAGGATTGACATTGGAGAGAGAGACATCCTGAGAGAATAAGGAAGGTACTAAGGTTACAGCCAGGCAAAACAAAAGCACAAGGTCAGAGCTACGGGGATGAACAAGCCACATGAATCAGAAAATCCGCTTTGCCCCCACACCACCTCCAAGACTGTTTACAGATGAGAACATTTTGAACTGGAACACTGTGCTTCTCTTCTCTTTTTAAGTCTTGAATGAAATCAAGATTGCAAATTCACCGAACGGAAGGAAGCACAGAGAGACTGTGAATAAACCATGTCAGGTATGCTGGGGAACCAAACCCACCTGGGTCTATCATACAATATTTCAAAGGAGGCTAAACTGCCTCTTCAAAAGGTAAGAATTGTGACTCAAGAAGAGATGTGATTCCTTTCCAGCCAACAGTATTAACATAATTGCAAATAATTTCTGCCAGAAATGTTGAAATGGATGCCAAAACATATCTAAAGTCTTTAAACCACCTTTCCTTTTTCATTCTGATGGGCTAAAACTAAGAAATAAATATTTATAAGGAATTCTGTAATGATTCCAGAAAAGAAGATTTCTGTAAAGAATACAACCCGAGTATCCCTTTAAAGGTCACTGTTTGTTTAACAACTCATCCATACATTTCCTAATACATTTGCAGCTTTGTGAAAAACTGAACTGTGACTTACAACTCTTTGCCATTTGTCTACATTACTTACCATTTTTTTGAAGTATAGTGTGTGGGATTAGTTAGAACCTGAGTGAAAACAATCCCAATCCATTGCTCAGTTTCAGTGGTTGAGCAAATACAAGAAGACTAGTCACATAAACTATTGAAAAAATTTAATGAACGACTACAATCTGCTTACTAGCTTAACCAGCTCTAGCCACAAAAGTAAAATATAAAAAATAACTCCAGAAGTGTACAAGAGCAGACACAAAATTGTGAATTGGAAAAAAAGGATGCTCTCTTGGAAAAAGTTAATTCAAAATTACTCTTTAGCTACTAAGCACCGAATTAACAGAAATTACTTCCAACACTTAAATTAATATTGCATATGACTAATTAGAACCATCCACTTGTTAATCATCATCCTCAGTCTTTATCTATTTGTTCCCAAAATCTATCAGTTTATGGATGCCTAATATTTTATTTCTGTAGCATTCCTAAAAGATGTATTACTTCTGTTTTTGAAAGGCCAGCTCCACTTCGAAACAGATATACAGAATTACAAATAATAAATTTGTTTTATGATTTCTTCATACTACACAACACCACTTTTACTTTACTTAAAAAAATTCGGGCTGAAAGATTAATAGCAAATTTTCAATATTTGGGGATTCTCTGTTGTGAGAAGCATTGCTAGCACAATAGCTAATAATTGGCCGAGAACAGCAATAAATTAATCCAAACAAGTTTTAAAATAACTATTGAGAAACCAACACATCAGAGAAAACAAACTGCCTCCAAAACTGACATAGATTAAAAAGTAAAGACAGTTATCAGAAATAAAAAGATACTCCTTTTGAGATTGTGAAGGAAGTTGTGGCAAAAGAAGGAAAATGGAGTGAGGAAAAATCCTCACTCTGCATGTTAAATATAAAAATATAAAGGAAGACCAAGAAATGTTCTCATAATCGACTTCTTAAACAAATTAAAACTAGTAAGAAATCCATTTTTAAACACATTCAGAGCAGGAAGGCAAAGTCTCTACTTGGAAAATACATGATCAAGGTAGAAAAGTCTTATTTAAACTATAGCAGAAAATCCACGTGAACTTTCTTTGTGTCTGTTTTATTACAGAAGATTCACAGGGGTTGTCATCCTGCTGGAACCATTTCTAACAGGGGATGTGTTGAAGTATCTGTCTCCAGCTGAGTAGCAGAAGAGATGATAAATTAAAAGGAATAAAAATACTAAAAATT